GCGCACTGCCACTAAAATATTTTGGCTGAATGATTGAATATCTAACTGACAGACTGGCAACAAGTTCTGTCCATCAATTAATACCCATTTGCCAGACACAGATACGCACACCCAAAGATTGCACCTAAACAAATAAACAGAATAGGAATCGAAGCTAAAGTATACAAACTCAAGTCCAAAGTATTATTTTATTTATATGCGCTCTCTAATCATTCGATTCGGCCAAACTTTGGGGAGTCTTTTGATTTAGAAAAATAACATCATAAAGAAATTAGCGTTACAATAAAGGTCGAAATTGGTTTCCTAAATAAATGTGCTAAAAATAGAAACAAATATCTAAAATACTCACAAGCCACACCCATTATAAACTCATGCCAACTTTCCATAAAAAAATTGGTGTTATTAAAAATCTCCATTGCAAAGTGTAACTTAATTTTTTTTTATCTAGTGAATATAGCTAGATATATAAAACCTAACAAAATTGATTGGAATTTTACTGATTTAATTATAGAATAGGAATGTGTAATTTGAAGTAAATTACCACTATTTTCTCTGTGTGAGATACTTGAAAGCTCTTTTCTGACTCAATTACCTGAACCCCTGCTGGTTCGCTTCGTATAATTTGTTTTTATTTTCCATTGTCCATTGTTTGTTTACCCCCTCGCCTTCTAATTTGTTAATAACGTTTGCCCAATAAAATTTCAGTTTATGGAACTGATAATACACTTATGTGAAACTGCTAAAACAAACGATCCTCAGTATATTTGTACATAGAAATAGAAGTCCCTGATCTTTTAAGATTGTATATAATTTGTATTTTCGTTTCGTTAATTTTGGTTTTAAATTATAAAATTTATTTCTTTGTCCTCAAGATTTTGTAGCCTCTTGATCTTTATATGCTATACTTTTTTTTATATAAATAAACAAAAATGCTAAGGAGAAATATTCTAGGCAAAATATGCGGTTGATTTGATATTTTTCCCGGCCAGAATTTCAGAAAGTATTTTAAGCTGATTTTGTTGGCTTTTATTTAGCATTTTATGAGTAATTTTATGTGTATATGCTGTACGTGTTTGTCTGGACTAATTTGCTGGCTATTACTCATAGGGAATTAGCAGGGAAGAGAACATCGCTAATGATCGAAAGACGCCCGATTCTATATCTAGATCCAGGCACACCGAAAGCCACTTTCGCATCAACTGCGAAGTCACTTTGCGATGAATTTGCATATTATGAAATTACTCATTTGTACTTAACAACTGCTCGACCGAGCTTTTGTTCATTTCTCCTGCTCCAGTTGCCTTCGCCCTCCGCCGGACGACGTTTCATCCAATTACCAGTAAATTCAGTGAAATAATTGCACATATTCGAATGCGAGGGGTCTGGACCGCTGCATTCGAATGGCTCGTAAAAGTTACGGCCACAAAAAGGTTTACGAACGTCGACTGCATTCAAAGTGGGTGGCTGGGTTTGCCTTTCGGTCGCAAAGGGGGTGGTGGGTGGGGGATGGTGTCACTTTGTGTGTGCAGCCAGTTGGAAAATGAATGCAAAGCCCAAGCTGACTCAGCTGCATCCAAATCGGGTCCAGACCGCCAGACTCAGCGATGAATTCTCCCGCGGAGAGAAGGAGAATTCGCTGGTGTTTATCAATATCCAATGCTAACAATGCCCCCTTAATAACTAACTCGAATTGCCTATAAAGTATAATCTATATAATAGTACACTAAGAAATTATTCTTATTTCACAAAGTTTATTGTATGAAATTGGTAAAATGTATAACATTTATATAACTATCAACTAAAAAAACATCAAAAAAATGATAACATATCCCGCATTCATAAAAAACTGTTATATTTATTATATAAATTATTTCAATTGTTTGCTCCTTCGCCCAAGTGTTAAGATTTTATGCACATTTTTTTTGGAAAGAACTATTTTCCTTAACTGCTTTGCCCAATATTTATGACCCCCCAACTCGAATGCAATTACCCCAAAACGTTACGAGGCAATAAAATTTGTCGAGTGTACGGAGCGGGTTCTGTTGGATGATGCAACCAGTAATCACAGTGGAGCCAAAGTGAAGTGCAACAATTATCCGCAGCAGAGGGGCAACAATTTTAACGGGTTCCACTCCGATCGCTTTGGAGTGTATATCAGTATATGATATATGTAACCAAAGCTGTAACTAAAACTGGCACGTAACTGGCCACAGATAAATCAATCTTTGCACACAGCTTGCTCTCTGTCACTCTAAAAAAGTTTACCCCGTTGCGTCTCTATTCAAAAGTTGGCTATCCTCAGACTGATGAATAGACTTTTAATTAACGCGTGCCTGTGTCCAACCTCTGTCACCGTTTTTCCTCCATTTCCCTGAGTGCCCTGCCCTCGGAACGAGTTTACACAGCTGCCAGCACTTGGCAATACTATATATATTGTATATTTAGTCGCATACGAATCGGGAATGGGCTGCCCAATCGCCATCGGAATGCTATGCTCGATTTATGGTAAATTTTAAGTCTGCCCATCCGAAATACAGTTTTATGATTAATATAGAATTAAAGTCTTAGAAATGCATAGATAAATTAGTCGGGGCATTTCGTTTGTGCGCTAAAATTGTTCTTCTGAATATTTCTAATAAATTATCCACGTATATAAATACCATAGTTCTGGGAATTCTGAATTTGCTTGCCAAGGGATTTGGGTTTATCCGAGTATTTGAACAACACTATCAATCAACGAGATTGGATTGGATTGCTTTGGTTCAAAGACCTGACATCAGCAGTGTCCTTGCCTCCTTTATCTCCTGCTAGTCGCATCGCATAAAACGTATTTTCAACTTATTTTCCAATTACCAGATCCAATTGCTTGCCACCTTTTGCTGGCAAAGCACAAATGGCAACAAAGACCAGAAACAGACAACGGCAAACGAAAAAAAAACACGTTGGCATATAGATTTCCTTAACCACAAATGGTTGAATGGGAAAATGGGGGAAATGGGGAGGGAGAACCTAATTGGTAAGACGGCGACACATTGAAAACTGCGGCAGCTTTCTTCTCCTTTTGGTTTTTGCAAGGAAAGCCAGAAAAACAATCCACCCTGTCACTCAACGAGGTGATGGGTGATTTACAGTGGAACCCATTGAACATTACTCTCTGCTTGGAGTCTTAATATCAGCGAAACAGCTATTACATCACTCAGTAATAAATACATAAATAAGTAACTCGATACAGGGGTAATTACAATTTGTCGGGATTTATAATTTGGTGTCAAAGGTTTGGTTAATGATATTAGCATTTAATAGTATGGTAAGGGGTAAATTAGAATAGGTATCTTATAAATAACTGAAAAGGTCATTAAGGGGATGATTAAACGATGAACTAGTTTTGTAAGAACGCAGTTTTTCAATTAATGTATTATTTAATATAACAGCTATTATGAAAGCCATTTAAAACGTTACTTCACCGAAACAACCAAATACCAGTTTACTTTTAAGCCTTTACATACTCATATTCAAGACCTGCGATTCGATTATATGTACCTGTCTTCAACTCTTGCATCGAATTGAAGCCAAATTTCCGCAAGCCATTCATCGCATTTTCCGGCCCAGTTTCCCATTCCCATGGGGGTCTTGAGCCGTCTATTTATAGGGAAAATTCCTCTTTGATGTCTCACACACACAAAGCCCGTTCCGTTCCGATGTTCAGATGGCCATGTCGGGAATTATTATTTGCCATGGCTGGCCTGGCCTGCTGCATAAAGGAAAATTCCCTTGCCCCAGGACATACACACACACACACACACGCACACAAATCATAAAAGCTGCTTAGCTGTCCTTTCGTGTATGTCCTGGCCAACTTAAGGACAAACTTGGCGAAAGGCGCAACCGCGGCGGAAGGAGCCAAAGAGGCTAATGCGAGCGTGGCCGAAAAAGTGTTGCTATAAATAACCTTAGACATGCGGGGCTTCCACCTCTCAATTCCCTCGCCCAAAACCCCACTTTCCATATAAATATGCATATATACTCATACATATCAAACAAAAAAAAAAAGAGTGTTTGGTTTACATAGCATGTACACACGCCAACTTTTGTCTGCAGCCCAAAATCAAGGAAACAAACTAAAAACACTCTTTTTCTTCCCATTTTTTTTTTCCATTTTCCCTTCGCTTTTGCCCTGAAATTGTGTAATATAAAGAGAAAAGCCGACGGCAAGTGTGTCATAGGTGTACGAGTATGTGTTGGAAAATCGGAAGCGAAGGAAAAACGAAACAAACCAAAAATTATGCAGAACTTTTTGACAGTCCGCAGTCCTTTTCAGTTTTCTTACTTGCTGTTTCCTTTGTTGTTCTTGCTGGTCAAAAGTTACTTTTCGGGCCTGAAACTTTAGTAATATGGAATAGGAGGACCAACTTCAATTGATATGGCTTAAAATTGCATGTGTGCATGTGTGTGGTGCAAGGCATTAAAAACTAAAAGGGGTAGCTAGAAATTTAATTTTTGTGTTCAGCATTTTGTTCTTTTGCATATAAAATGCATTGAAACACGCAATTTAAATTTATTAAAAATCAAATGTTGTGTTGAAGTTTCCTAAAACACAAAATGTTGTATCTGTATCATTACGATGAGATCTACATTCTCACCAAATGTGTATCCTAGATAAAGCTGATTTGATTAAATTCTACACATTCTGCTTTAGTATCCAATATAGATTTAGATGTCTTTATCCAGCATCTGTGACTTAAGAGTTTTCCGGCCATCGAAAGGGGGAAAAAATAAAGAATTTTCAGCGCAGATGTTTTCCTTTTCCAGAATTTTCTAATAAAATTCCTTTGCCGTAAGTGCTTGTATGAGATGCGAGTGGAACACACCAAAAAGGAGGCAAAGGACAGCTGTAAGTAAAACCAATATACAATATACAGCTTTCCATTCCGAACTCCCCACCTCTTCAATTTAAATCTGAGGGAACCTCCATCAAACAGCTTCAATAAGAACGCCCACAGTTTGTGTATATATTTTTTAAGGATTTCAAATTCATTTTATTGGTTTTTTTGTTTGTTTGTTTCTTTTCCTTTGTGTTTTCTTGTTTCTCTTACTCTCCTCTTCAAACCATCATTTTACTTATAATTCTTTTACTTTTTCGCAAAATTTGTTTTTTATTGTATGCTTGTTTGTTGTGTTTATTTGGTTGTTTTTGTTTGTTGTTTTTTTTTTAAGATTTCTCATCTTATTTGTTTGTTTTAAATATATATATATTTGTATATATATATGCACTTGCTATATAAACTTAAATTTATAAACTAAATTAAATAACTTGAATTTTGCTTTCTCATTTTCTTGCGTTCTGGTTCTTCTTCTCACATATATATATATTATGTCAATATATATATTTAATCTGTTATTACCTCGAATTTTTCACGCACTCACATGAAACAACAACGAAAAGGTTTCCTTTATTCTGGCTAACCTAACCGAACAAACTTTTTGACTGAGGGAGAAGCTTAAGGAGTAAAAAAAAGATAGATGATACATTAAGAGTAGTACAAATTAGTGCATAGTGTATATTTAATACAAAAACGTAAAGCATTCAAATCGTTAGTCAGATAGTAAAGCTCAGATCGGGCTCCTCAGATACTGTATCTGCATCTTTAAAGAGCAGTGTTTACAGCTACCGTAAAAAGTTAACTAACAAAGGGGAAAAAAATTGCACAAAATTAAAGATCAACTCTTGCTCTCTTACTGCACATATGTTTCGAATATATTTATTTAGTTATATATCCACATTAAATTTTATGCTCAGACTACCGTAGATTATTTTCAGAATATGCTTATGTGTGTCTGTGTGTTTGTTTCTTTCGGGAGTGTGTGGGTGTCTGGGTGACTGACAAAAGGACACAAATCAAAGGATCGGCGATAGTTCTCCTCCACACAAACTAGTTGGAAACACATAAACATGTGTATGTTTCATATAAAGGGGAGACAATTTGGTTGTGATGTGAACATTTCGTGGCTACAAACATCGTCATCTTCTTCTTCTTCTTCTTGTTTTCTTACTCGATTGATTTTTCTGTTTTTTACTTTGTTTACTTTTATTTACCATTAAATTTAGATGCTTAATTAATGCCTATTTATGACTTTTGTCTCGCAACTAGTTGAACAAATAATCATAGAAAACATAAAAAGTATTTATAAATTAATTTTATTTGTTACGATCCCGAGTTGCTCTCGCTCTTTTTTATATCTCTCCTCTCACAACAACAACATAATATTTAAAAGTCTAGACTTTTAAAAATAAATAATAACAGGGAAAGGAATACGGAGAAGTGCCATTAGAATTAAAAGGTGGTTCGGAAACGATTTCGATATCTCCTACGGCCAATTAAAATGATTTCTCCGCACATAACGAAACAATAAATATATTTTCCGATCGATATTTACTTGAATATAACTGCTATAGTTGCCTTTTTCTCTTTCTTTCTTTTCATTTCTCTCTGCTCCAAATAATTATACTTAGCACATGATATTCTCTTTGTTCTGCTCCTCTTGGTATAATGCTTCAATCTTTGTGTATATATAGACATGACTCCGTCGACATCCGCTTCTTCTTCTTCTTCTTTTTTAATTTCATTAATGCTAAGTTTTATACGTTTTATACACACAAATTTCAGTTGATTTTTTTGTTTTGTTTTTTTTTTTTTTGTTTTATGTGGCTTAAATGTAAACATTTAGATTTTGTTTTTTGCTTTATATATTTCTTGCTGCGTTTCAAATGTTTCTTGTTGTTACTTTATTACTTTTACTTGCTTTTTAGTGTTTATACTTTGGAGTTTTGAGTAGTTGATGTGGTTCCTTTTGCGAGTGTAGATGGATAACTATTTATGAGTAAGTAGTGCGCATACTTGTGGGTGCCACTGTTGAAATGGTAGATGATTCTTAATGCTCTGATCTTGGTTCCGATTATGTTACTGCTTGTGGTTCTGTTTCTGTTTCTGATCCGGGGCGGGCGGTTGCTGGGTTTATTGTTGCACGTCGTCGCTGATTGTACAACATTTATATACGCGAATATATATAAATATCTAGAGACATGTCTACGGTAAAGACGCCAAATTTGTTTCTTTTTTCGGGGCTACTTGAACGCAAGCTCGGTTTAACGGAAAGGCGGGGGCAAAAATCCGGTCTGATTTCACTCACTCACTGGTCAACCAGCCGAAAAGTGTCCTCATTATTCGGCGGCGACTTCTGCTTTTGGCTTTTCTGAGGGCTTCAACTCGTTTCTGCTCTTCTCCCGCAAACATTTTACACATTTTACACCTTTAATTAATCGCAAGACTCGCCTGCTTCTTTGTTGGCTCGCCGATGTTGCTTCTTCTTGTTTTTTTTTTTTTGTCAAGCACACTGTGTGCGCCATAATTTTTGTGTTAAATTTAACCTTTTGTATTTCATTTAAAAATTATTAAAGCGTTTCATACTCTCAACTTGTTGTTGTTGTTTTTTTTTTTTTTTGCTGCAGCTGACTGAGTGACCGACCTGGATCGATCGATCGAAATGAAATGAAATGAAATTCTTTAGCCCTGGCTTAGATGACAATTCTCCTGGATTTCCTTTAGTGTATTTGTATTTGTATTGGTTTTTCAATCAGTGTCTTGCGTTTACACTTGCTTCACTTTCTTGCTGGTTCTTTATCGGTTTCTCTTGTATTCTTTAGTTAAGACTAAGCTACGTTTACAACTAAATATCTGTAGTCTCGTGGTTAAATACGCTATATGTTATGAATGAATATTAATGTGTAAGTCATTATTTTATCGGTTTCTATATCTTGTTTCGGTATCCGGATTTCAAATCGTCTTCCAAGTCCTTCCACTCGGCTTCGCACATCAGATGAAAAGACTGTTTGTTGTTCCGGCTGTGTGTTTTATCGAACTGTCCCACTTGAAGACGAAGGGAAATGCTGAAAAAAATGAAAGACAAGGAAAAAAGTGTTAGTTGTGTCTGCAAACTCAATCAAGCGTGCATTTGCATAATTCGCAATTTATTGAGCTCGTCTCGATCGGCTTTGACTTCTTCCGATCCGGTCCTATAGTTATTCAACCTTGACTGCTCCCCGCCCGTACTTCCTACTCAAGTTTTTTAACCTCTACCTCTGTCTCTTGCATATCAAATTGAGTTTGAGTTTGAGCTCGGCCGATAACTCATTCCGCACACAAAACCAAAACCACCAAAAGCCAAACTAAATCGATTCTATTAATAATGTTTAATTTGGCTAGTGGCTGTTTCTCGCTTGACTCGCTTAAGGGGCATTCAGCTGGGTCAAGGTCGTTTCTAAGAGTTTAAGGAACTAGAAGAACTAGGGTGAGTGAACGTGTTTGGGTTACTGGACGGGACTGGTTAATGATTTATAGAATAAAATAGTAAAGATAGAAACTGAAATGTTTATAGAGATTGTTTGAACAGGTTTATACTATAAAATGAATTTCTTGTTATAAACATGCATGATATAAAACAGACAAAGCTTTTTATAGTCATAGTTTTAATTTAGAAAAGCATTCCCTGATACAAATAGTTTAAATAGGTTTGTATATCGTATTTTAATCTCCATGATTATCTACATTGTATGGATAAATATTATTAAATGAAATGGAAAATGTCTCCTGCAGTCAAGACAGCTAAACAATGTCTATGTCATAGCCACTTGAACTAAAACAGTTTGAACCAGGCCACTTCCACTAGCGACAGGGACAGCGGAAAAACTCCCGCGTGCTGGAGAAATTTTCCCATGTCCCTGGGCATATTGGCATGTTAAAAGTTTTATAGATTTTTCGCCTTATCAGCGCGGCACATGCTTCGCTGCCCCACCCCCTTTTCCCTCTCTTTTGCCAGCCCCTTCCATGGGCATCTCATGACGTAAGCGAGCCACAGCAGCGTGCTATATTAAATCTCTTACACGAAACACACACTCACACTTACACACACACTCGAATGTTGGGGGAACAAAAAGAATAACAAGATAAAAAAATAATTTCAGGCGGCGTTTTATCGCTGAAACAAAAAGCGTCACTGAATCGCTGCCGCTGCCGCTGCACCCACGCAAAGGTGGCCATAATATACAGATACAGATACACACGTTCGGGCCGAGTACTCGAAACCGGAGAGGTGCACTGTACTCAGGTATCGAATTCGAGTCGCCGGAGTTTGGCATTGAATTTACAAGAGATCTTTTGTCTGCCATTGTCTCGAATTACATAAGGCCAAAAAGCCGAAAAAATTATGGCCAACAAGCGATTGCAATGGGAGGAGGCATTACGTGAACCCCAAGTAACAAAACTAATGGAAAGAGGGAAACTTTCACCAATCCAACAATCAAAGCTGGCCTTGGAACCCCAATAAAAAAAAACAATATATATCCCAACTTAATGAAAGAAAAGTATTCCTATTTAATATTGATATCAGACTCTCAAGTCTTGAAAAGCGCCACTGAAATATTCATATAAACTCTTTGTTGCATTAAACATTCAAAGTGCCCCGAACAAATCTGAAAACTCATTTGGTGTAACGAGTTTTCCAAGAGCTTCAAACTTGTCCGAGAACACAGCTGAATGGGTTTGAGAAGGGCCCCACTAGAAAGAAAAGCGGAAAGTGAAAAGCAGCAGGTGAAATCCCAGCAACACATTTGACCTACACGCAATGACAAAAATGTTGCCAAAAAGAACAATCAAAATATGTCTGGGCATAAATTTATTTATAACAGGCGGCCAAACGTAAAAAAAAGAACGGATACTTAAATCATATGAAAAATAAATTAATTTATATAAGAAGATTTAATTTTTCACTCGATTCAGATTCAGCTTGGCGCAAAAAGACGAAAAACATTTCAATAAATCAGCGAAAAATCAAGAAAACCAGAGTGGACAAGCCGAAAATATCTTTAGATATATATTTGTGCATATACAATCTATAAATGAACAAATTTCACAGAGGAATATATCTACGAAAATTCAACGAAAATTATGTTCAACCAGCTGTTGTTGATGTCGCCTCAATGCCTCGCCCTAAAAAACTCACAAAAAGTACTCCCCTCTAAAGCTTTGTATCATCTTCCTTTTGTTATATAATTTATTTACATATGCCAGAGCTTATAAATATCGTAAGCCACCCACATGCAAATGGCGTCTGTATACAAACCACGATTTTTCACTTTATTTATAGTTAGCTCATTCACTCGACCAACTCACAGCGAACAAAAATCCTTAAATCGAGCTTCCCAACACATTCCCCATTCAGTTAGTCAGGCAAAGGAGTCAGTTGCCGAGTTTCCCTTGCCGGTAATTACGCATTTTTAAAATGCAGTCTGTGCTTTGTTGCCATCAAATATTCATAGGCTCGAGGCAAGAAAACGAACTCAGTCTTGTGAGTGAGGGCGACACAAATGGAATGTGTCGTTGTCCCAGTCCCCGTTTTGCGTTTCAAGTCCCAGGTCGCCGTCATTTGGCCTTTTCTAAAATGCACAAAACACTAAACACACACACGAGCCAAAGTGGAGGCAAACGAGACCAAAGTCGAAAACTATGTCAGCAATCTTCAGTGTCTTACAAGCACGTCGTCAGCTGCTTAGATATGCCTGAAATTTTTACATATTCTTGGGACAGTTTATATCCCAACCATTGTATCTCAGACTAGATGAGTCTAAAGGTTATAAAATGAACGAAGGATTCTGTGCTTTAAAATAAAGCAGGATACTTTTAACTAGACAACAAAATCACGGAATTGCAAAAGGTCTTTTCCGTCAGAATGCATATCCTTTTATATGCTTTTAGGAGAATTGATTTGTCTAATGATCCCCGACTTGCAGCGTCTTACACTTCAATGATTTTCACGCTAGTGAATCAGCAAAATGCTTTTCCAAAAACACGCCAAATGTGCAAATCACTTTCAGCTCTCTCATATGTCAGTTTCAAAGGAGCTAGTAATGGGGTACTCAACTACTTCAAAGGAAACAGTTTAGATTAGAAAATGTCAAGACTTAGCACATTAATTAGAAGGGGACTTATCAAACGAATACTAATGAAACTCTTTTTGCACTTTTCTGGTTTGCAAAAGTTCTTTCAATCTAAATTCTTTTCCAACCAGTTTGGATTCTTGACCCCTAAACTGGTTCTTTCACTTGAGTGCCCTCCGACGGCTTCCTTTTGGACTTCATTGCTGGTCAATCAACGGAATGTTTCCCTTGCATTGACTCTGGGTTCAATATACGCCAAATAAAGGGAGATCTGCAATTTGCAATTCACATTCGGTGCTTTTGTTGTTCGCCATTCAGTTCTGGTCAGTCTCACATCCAGACACACTCGCTTTGAACCCTCAACTTGGTTAAATAACAAAACAAATGCAAGACAAATGCAAAAAAAAAAACCAAAATGAAAAGAAAGAAATGAGAAATAAAGGCGAATTAAAGAACACAGAATCGGAATGCGAGTGGGGATCGGCATGCCAATTATCGAGGCGCCCTCCCATCGATATTTTGGCCGCTGCTCGTAAATCAAAGTGTGGAAAAGTTTTGGGGCATTCGGTAAAGTAAAAAGAAATAAATGGATAGCGGCTCTCGCCGTATCTAATGTCAATAAACTTTTTGGCTTTGAAATCAAATCAATTTTCATGCCAAGCGAAAGCGGGCAGACATCATGATGGGACAGGAAAAGCGGAAAAGCGAGGATGAGGCCACACAATGAAGAGAAAATCGATGCCGAGGCCCTCAAGACAAATCAATTAAAATGAAATTTTTACTTCTGAATTTAACATTTTGTTTTATACGTTTCCATCGAGCCGAAAGAAAATGTCAACGAAACGAATCGAACCGAACCGAAATGAAATGAAATGAAATGAAATGAACAGGAAACGGAAACATGACAAACGAAGGCACAAGATTGGCAAACTGCGAAACCTGATGGGCCAACATCACAGCAGCGCAAATTAAAAGCAAATTTCAATTTTTGCAACGACATTGTCACTGTTTTTGCCACTGCCACTGTCGCTTTTTGTTGTAACAAAATTAACTACGAAAGTAATTAAAGACCAGGGGCAAGGCAGGGCCAGATGGGGCAGGCCACCAGGACAAGCAGGAGGGGCAGAAGGGGCACGAAGGGAGTGGCGGGGGCTGGGTCAACTGGTGCCCGCAGGAAAAGAGTCGCAGGAAGGCAGGGAGGTGACCATAAAGAGCCTCAACTTGTCTTGCGCGCGCATGATGGCAATTAACATCACACACTAACGCACCTACTGACAGTGGGAGGAGATCGAGTGGTTTGGGCTTCTTAATTCTTTATTTATATTCAGTGATAAATGCAGGGAATGCAGACATATACTTGCTTCTTTAAAAATATTATAAAATATCATCATAACTTCTTTTAAAAACGCAATAAAATGGCAAAATATAATTGGTTTCGTAGGTCCAGCAATTCCAGCGATTCAATTTTTTTTGTTTACTTAAATTTGCAGTTTGTGTGATAAGAATTTCAAAACAAAGTTGATAAATATGTATATTTACGTATATATTATAAAAAAATATATATAAATATAAACTAAGTGTCTTTTCCCTAGCTTTGCTGTCTGAAATGGACATTATTATTTACTATTTGTTGTTTACATATGCCAGTAAAATAATTAATTGCTTTATATTTGTCCCAGTAAGATGATACATTTCGCATTTCAAAATATATAAACATTTGTATTCACAATATAGCACTAGATTCAAAGCAATTACAAAACAGTTAAGCTTCGAATAAAATGCGGTATAAAATGAACCAAAATGAAACCAAAGATTACTCTTTAATCGACCCTCGCGAGGCACACTCTTACACACACAGGCGCAGGCTAAGAAAGCCACTGAGGATAATAGCGGAGGAGGACGAGGGTGGCGAAGGGAGGGACTGACACGCAACAGCGCCGCCGGCGACATGGCGC